GAAAAAGCCCATAGTGGCACATAAAATGCTGGATCTTCTGCAACTATACCTTTTAGCATATTTATAGTATATTAATAATTAGTATTATTATATATATTATATATTTTTTAAATATAATTTTTTAAAACTTACTATATGCAATATATCTATAAGTTATACAATCATTAAGTGAAAGGGCAGGTATAAAGTTAAAAGATCCTGCTTGATATTTAATTGCTACTGCAGCCTAGTGTTTGCAAAGAGTTCTACCAAGTGCTGCAAGACATGTATACATTTTAACTAATAGATCAACAATATAAAACTTATCTATATTTGTACTAGGTACAATATATGTATTGCTTGAATTATCAAAATATATTTTTTGTTAATCAATCTACTACTATCTAGAACTAAGAAACCATTTTGATAGTTTAAGACAGCCAGAATAACAGTTTGCAATAGTCATTAATCTTTGTTTATAAAAACATTTTATGTTTTCTATAATAAATTAAAATATTTGCATGACATTATATGTCTGAGTTCAAGTAAAGACAATATTCTTGATGATATCAAAGCTCTACTTAACATAATTATTGGTATAATTTTCATGAAGTAGTAAATACTGCCAATATGATAGTGTCTAAGCTTCTTATCGATCTCAAAAATATGTGAGATATATAGCAAATTGTGAATATTTTGTAAAATATTGTTCTTTTAAAATAAAAAAATTAAGCTCTATTTCAGAGATTGTAAGTGACTATAAAACTTTTTTAAATAATAACATAATTGGTGATCTATTATTTTTGTAAATTTTATATTCGGAATTATATAACCATTGCCAAAATGCTTATAATATATAAAAAATACATAATAGTTTAACACAATTAGACCAGCAGAGTGAAATAGCATTATGCTTTGCATATGAATTATTAGTCATAATAATGGCTAGCCCAAATTGTAGACCACATCTATAGAATGCATTATTTGGCAGTATCATCTTTAATAAATTAATCATATTTTCAATAGTAATTTCAACCTCATTTGAAGTTAAAAATAATCCTAATAGTAATGCACTAGCAACACAATTTGTATAAAGAAATGAAATTGATGTATTCAGTAGGTTGAAAGAAGCGAATGCATCAAAGTAGTATAATTCACTAGTTTGATGAATTTTTTTATGAATTCTTATCATCAAATTCATCACAATATATAAAATAAAAAGATTTTGTATAGTTGAATTATATATTTGAAGTACAGCTTTCCTTTACCAGAATTATTATAAAAAGTAACAATTTCTTGTAATCACTCAAATATTCTTTTGCCATTTTGATCATCTAACTAAGTAGCACAAAACTTACTATAAAGATATTTTAAAAATCCATTATCTGGATTTTTTAATCTATCTGCCAACAATTGTACAAGTTCATTATTATCAGAAGCAGATAAATGCAACTCATCTTCATAGACATAATATGTATTGGCTGCCAAATGCCCTATATTAAATAATTTAATATATTTGTTTTGAACCTCAAGTTTTATTGATCGAAAGCTTAATGAAATTACTGAATTAGGTAGGTGATTGTGTGTAAAATGAAGATTAATTTCAAGCAAATTATTATTTTTTAATCAAAGATTAAGTGTTGCATTGCATTTTGTATTCCTATTTTGCAAATTATATGAATTTTTAATATCACAGTTTTTATTTTTTTGACTCACTAAATAACTGTGAATACAGTGCTGTATTTTTCTAAAAATGACCTTGTTTCCTTTAACAAGGTAAGTTTGAGTTAGACACATAGTAGTTTTAGATTTTTGTTGAAACTCTTCAAGCCACTTCAAAGCACCATCTTTAATATCAATATTTGTGAATAAATCAACAATGATTTGCCCAATTATCACACTTTCAGAAGTAATTATGGGTTCTAATTCACTATAGTTTTCAATCTGGTATAGGTAATTTGATGGAAGTATTTGCCAAAGTGATATAGGTAAATTTGATGAATTAATTTGATTCTGTATTACATAATTTATTAATACCTTTAAATTCTTTAAAACATTGTTCATAATATTATATACGTGCCTGCAAAGAATTTTGCATTGCTACTTGTAAATTCTTATTTTTGGATTTAAAAAAAGAGAAGGTAAACATTTATTTATTGTCTCAATAATAACAATACATAATTAAATTGATTAATAATAATGATAATTTCAACGTCATTCATAGGTACGTACGTAGGCGTTCAATAAACTATTGAATTTCCGATCCGACCAATTTCAGGTCGATCGTCCGGACCCAACCTGGTACACATTTTCCGGGTGCTCCCTATCTAGGGTATGACATATATACTTGATATTATTCTACTGCAATATTTATTATTTGTTAGTATCAAAAGCCTCTCAATATACTTCGAGCTAAAGTTAATTCTCTTCATTATTGCCTTAGAACAACTATACATGCCGTAGAAACTATTTCTCCTTTGCTGGAGATATTTCGACATTGATTTTTAATAAAAATTTTCGAAATAACTCAGACATTCATCTCAAAAATCAAAACCAGAATACTTTCGACAAAGCCAAAATAGTTTCTACGGCATGTATATTACAGCTGTTCTCATAAATTCTGGGAAAAATGATAAAAATTTGATCGGCCGAATTCGTTAAGTTTTGGAATTCTGTGTTAGGCCATATGAAATTAATTAATTGTTTCTCATAACCCGGCCGGGCCAGCTTTTGTAAATCTTCGATACAAAATGTTATGTTATTTACTATAAATACTTTCGGGTGGTTTTAATAAAATTTTTTATACGTTCTAAATATTTTTTAGACAAAGAAAATTTATAAAATTTTTGCGATTTAAAATTAAAAGCCGGGCGGGCGGGTCACTTTAAGAATTCTATGTTATGAGAAACGATTATTTAATTTTGTATGGCCTTATCGGAATTGAATTTTCGCATTACACTAATCCGATAACACCGAATTCAAATTCGGCCGATCAATTTTTATTAGTTGTCTCAGAACAGCTATAAACTCATTACTTAAATATTTTCAATTTGGTTTACTTATTACCAATCGGAGATATATCCTGAATCAGTGAAAGAAAAAAAAGAAGTGAAAATACTTGAAAACTAATGTTTAAACCGACTTAGGTGCACTAATTAAAATTTCGGTAAAAAGAGGAAGTCCGAATCTTAAATTCTATTTTCATGTAATGTTAATTTCATACTATATTTCCATTTTGGGATTGTTGAAAGAAACATTTGTTTTACGTATGTACAAATTGTTCGGATTATTAAATTGCCCTTTAAGTTCCATAAATGATGTATATTTTTGTTTATTTGTTACATGAACCATTATAGTATTGATTTAAATCGATATTTTAAACTTAGTGCAATATGAACTTGTTGCGCCTATACCACGCGTGCGCGTATGCACTGTATATATGTACATATATGCGAAATATTACAAAAAATCTACATTTTTGGCGGTTTGATTATAATTGTCGATGCATAAATCTTAAAAAGTTTATTTATGAATTTTCTTACAGTACAGTTCAGACCGTACTTCGTGATTTCTGAATGTAAAATGTTATATACCATGAAATTTTGATGGGGATACTTTAACGGGCATCGTAGTCCACGCTATAGTACGTACTATTTCTGTTGTGTATATTTGTATTTCTAACGACAAAATTTTAAGAACCAATTAAAAATGCCGAAATTTGTTTTATATTGAGAATGGCATCAACTTAGGTGAATTGTTTATTCAAGTACTCCAAACGTTTACTTCATGCATTATTATGGACCACCAAAATCATTGAAAAGGTTTTCAAATTCAAATTAATGAATTTCATCTCCCGCTTCTTTGCAGGCAGTGCATATTTTTTCATTTCTTATTATCACCCGTCAATTGTGACGATTTAAATTCTGTTAATGAAAGCTTTCTTTATTATCTGATACCTTGTCACACAGTCGAACAAATTCGATCATCGACTTTTCTTCACATAATCTCAATCGTCATAGATCTCTAGATAATTAATTGTCTTCCTCAAAAAGTTACAGATAGCGTTTTATTAATGGTTCAACTGGTCAATAGATTTACCTTATCATGTTTGGATTCGACAAACCAAAGTGAAGCGAATAACGCAATAACGTACTGTACTTGTGATTTCCGCATAAATTTAAGCAATTGCGCAGATTCTTTTATGTTGCGGACGGGAAGTTGGATTCTTATTTTTCACGCTGCGCTAATTTCTACTATCTCGGCATGTTTTCTTTGGTACCGAATTTACTACCAACGTCAATCTTTATTTTTTCCTGCATCAAGAGATCGTGGCATTATACGGCCAAGACCACATGATGCATTTCATCTCGTAACATTTTCTTTCAATTTACGTATGTTATATCGATATTGGTTCTAAACATTTAGTTCTTAAATCCAATAAAATATTATATTTATGTTTGGTTCTTGACTTTAGTGCAGATTATAGATACAGCATGTCTATTAAATGACTATATGCCAAGTGTTATTTGGGCTGAAAGTATGTTTTTTTGACTATATCGTTCATCACTTAACCCAAGGTATTATACTAACTTTACTTTTGCTTAAGTATTGGCAGATTTACCACGACAAATATCTTTCATATTTTCAGTATTGTATCTTGTTGGGATCAGTAAGTTTGTTTTATTCGTTAATATTTCGAATTAAGATGTTGAGATTTTTAATAAAAATATTTCATTATAGTTTATTCGATTCCTACTCTAGAACCGACAAATACTCATTATCCGGACAAATTCGTTCCAAAAAAACATTTTATCGACATTATAGCATTATTTTTAATTTTAGGTCCTTTCTTTATAAACACTCCGATTTCTTATATGACAGGATATCATGCGGAAAGCAGTCCAGAAATAGCCAACAAATTATTTGAAATCCATTATATCATTTGGTCTGTCTGGATTTCGGTATATTTAGCAACCTTGCTATATTTTTGGCGTAAGTTACTTGGTCTCTTAAAATATCACATGACAGATTTAAAGCAACGACCAAAAGGAGATACCTTGATTCTATGGAAATTGGAAACATTGCAAGTCGCTGCCACGAATGTGAGCTTGTGACATTTTAAAAGTTATTATGGATTTATAAATGAATTACTAAAAATGTGATTTCTTTTTTATTGTACTGTTATTTTTAGCTTTCAACTGTTGCCATAGTCTTTGCACTTTGGGGTTCTCTTTTTGTGCTCGTGTCCTTTGTCTTTGGTGTCACTTACAAAACATTGAAAAACAAGAATGAAACCTTTAATCTTTTTTATTTTATTGTTTTGAATTTCGTCGAACCAATTTGTTTTCAAATCGCACAATTTATTATAATTTACAAGTAAGGTTGCAATTCATTTACTTATATCTATAAAGAACCTCTCTAAATTTGTGCTTTTTTGACCATTTTAAGCTCAGTAAGGCCAACTCCGAATAATGCACCATTGGGTCGGGCATTCAGCGTTATGAAAAATCCACAACACCCTTTCAGAACATTATCAAGTGTGAGGGTGTCAAGTGCGAGAGTATCAAGAATATCGAGTACGAGAATAGAACAAGATACTCGTTCCAGCATGACGCAACCTGCGTCCATTGTTCCTAAGTCATATCTATTATCTCCGCCAGAAACTTGCAGTAGACCCACAAGTTCCGTAAGCTCAAATCCCATAAATACGGATTCATCAAATATATTATTACAACCTGTTCATCCAAGAAATCGCTTAAGTAAAAATCTCGATACAATAAGCAATGCATGTGAAAATCTCGATACAATAAGCAATGCATGTGAAAATCTCGATACAATAAGCAATGCATCGACATCATATTATTCGATCGGAGAAAACTTTATAACATCAAGTCGAAATAATTCCCCGACTGATTTCAATCAAAAAGAAACCAATAGTCAAAGAACAAGTTCCCAACTTTCTGGCCATAGTCACTCTATCAATGAACATTTAAATAATTCTGATTCAGTGCAGCCCTTGCAACAATCTCATCGTTTAAGTAACACCAGTTTATCGACACCCTTAAATTACAGCAGGGAAGATGAATTATGATAACGAAAAAATATTTTAGTTACAAACTATCAGACATTCTTTTTTGCATAATTAACAATTATCATTATATGATTAATATAATTTGCGGGTCAGTATCTGCATCATAGAAAAACATTACACTCACTAGAATAAAATAAAATATATACATTAATTAATTTAATATTTAAATTACTATGTATATAGCGATAGAATCATTTTCCCAACAACCATTCCTCCTGAAACTAATTTCCTTCCTTCACATTCCGTATCCCCAACACTAATCACTTTCATTTCCCGAAACTCTATCCCTTTTATAAGTCATATAATCTATTTTTACTTGTCCGTCTTATTAATATGAATAATTATGAACAGCTTATTTTAAATACTTTGTTCTTTATTCTCACAAACTAAGATAGCGCAAAGAAAATGACTTATATCAAACATTTAAATTGATAAATGTTCTAAATTAATGCGAATAAAATGAACTTGAATATCTAATTTTAAATGCTTATATTAATAAATTTTCTTGATACTCGCACCTGAATGGTTTTAGTACCGTAAATGGTCATACAAAAATTCCTAGATAGTAGGCCCATTTATACTATCTATTAGAGATAATAAAATTGGTGAAATGTACCAAACCCGTTATTGTTTATATTGTAATTCCGGAATTCGGCGAGTCTGTCGCTAAACTAATCCAACTCTCGCGTAACCTACGGCGGCTAAGTCGAAATAGGCGTGTTAGATTT